AGGCGAAACCGGTAATGGCAGTTGGACTCACATTGGAAGATGCAATCTTAGTGACAGTGGGACTCACTTTGGAAGAAGCAATCTTAGCAATGGTTGGAACTTCACATGTAAGGAGAGGGATTGGGACGTTAGTGATTGGAGAAGCAACCGGAGTAACCTGGACAACACTTTCTTGCCTCTCCAAACCAGCATCCCTTGCTGTAACAACTTGCGATACAAACGACGAAGCCAAAGTTGTAGATCCCTTGGAATTTTCATTAGCCTTAGGAGCAGATTGAGTGGTTGATTTATCTGCACTTATTAGTAGACAACGTGAAGCTTTATGGCCTAATTGTCCACATCCGCTACAAGTAGAAGGCAACCAAGAGTAAAGAACCTCGACCATGGTGATTTTGTCACTTATATCCGTTAGAGTGACTCTTTGAGGGAGTGGCTTGTTTAGCTTTACCTCAACTAGGATTTTTGCTTTTCCCATCTCCGTTGGATCCAACCACGATTTTTCAGTCAACATTGGTTCTCCAATACCCGATGCAATCCACTTGATACCCATGATTGAATATAACTGGGTCTCAATCTAAGTGCCACACATTTATGAGTTGTTTCATCAGGATTATGGAAAAGATATGTTGACTCTCCTAACTTTCGAACGAAAATTCTACATTTTCTTACCTTTGGGGTGCCATCCTCCATGTATTCAGGAATAGTAACTCTATCAAGTGAGCTGCGGCTTCAGCTTCTGTTGTTTGATCCTGAAACGAAGCAGAGACGTTGTTGATGTTTTGTTTTCCACCCGAGAGAGAGCTGGCCATCTGATGTCGTTGGATTGACGAGTATGTGATGGTTGCTGACCAGAAGAGACAGTTCTATTAAAAAACTTGTACAGTACGTTAAAGAAAATCAACTAAACCTAAAAAAATTAATGATTTGTTGGATTTCACTAAAATTATAAAGGCCAACCGACTCTCAAATAAAACAAACCCACGCTTAAAAAAAAAAAAAGTTACAAGCATGGCCTGCGAAAGTAAGATCTCTGTCAATAATTAAAATATCTTATTAGTTCTTGTTCGATGTTTAATGGATCTCTGATTTGTTTATGCGTTTCCGGTTTCGTTGCAGAGCCTAAAGCATGCGTCTTCTGGGATGGGGTGGATTTCCCGTTCCGTCAAGATCCTGATTTGATTTCTCAGAATATGAAGCATTCTCTTGAAAAGTTGGTTCTTTTTGGTGATTTTTCATTCAAGGCTTTTGTTGATGAGGATATGGTCACAGATGAGTTGCTCCGTGTCTATAAGGAAGCCGGAATCACCATCATTCCTGTTCCAGGTGAAGTCCCCTATAAACCCTAC